CAACCACCAGGCCCCGCGGCCCGTTCAGCTTCCGCCTCAGCCGCGGCGTTTGTTTTGACAACACCAGGCGGTCTCCTCCTCCCCTCCCCCCGTCCTCCCCTCCTCCCGTCATCCCCTCCTCTCTCCTCCCCTCTCCTCCCCAGTGATGAGGCCCAACTGTGGCCCGGCCCCAGGGCCCCGCAGCCAGCCCACCCGGCGCAGCAGCCTGCCCTGCAGCGGCCATAGGGACACGTGGCTCCCTTATTGGAAGAAGAAGAAGAGTCCCCCTTCACCCCCCTCCCCTCCCTGCCTGCACTCTCTCTCTCTCCCCATCGCTCCCCGATGGACGTCCCATGCGCTGCACTGCGCTCTTATGCACCACTCTGCACAACAAAGACCCCGGGAAAGGTCATCGAGAGGCTGTCGAGTATGCGATGTGCGTCCTGATTTGTGCACCCTTCGCAGACGCGCTACTCCTCACCACCACCACTACTACCACCCCCTCCCTCCCCCCTCCCGAACAGCCCTGGCGCTTTGCTTCCTACGCTGCGGAACACAATAACGCAACGACCCGCCCGAATATTTCATGGGGCTTTATCGGGAGGCCCGGGGATTAATTATTCGCAGGATTGCCCCCCACTCCTCCCCCCTTCCCCGCCTCCGTGCTTCTGACCCGGCGGCCTACCACCACCGCCACTGCTCGCTATGCGCGATGGTGGTGTTGGCGGTGGATCGCGGGCCGAAAATAATAATTATACCGTTACAATAATAATAGCAATAACGTCGTAATAATATATTAATTATAGAGGCATCGCAATGGGAGTCTCACAACAGTGTAAGAGCGTGGTTCCGCTCTGCCAGCCCTTTCCCCTCTCGCCTTCTCCTCCTCTGCCGGCGTAGCAGTGTGGACAAAGGACCGATTGGAGGTGGCGGCGGGGGGCGGCGCGGCGTGCGAGGAGGAGGAGGAGGAGGAGGAGGAGGAGGGTGAAGGGCCATCCGACGTTGGCTGTGCCGAGGGCTTCGCCGAAGGGCTGGGGCGGCAGTGTGGGTGTATGGGGCACCCCCGTGGGGCCGGCGGGGGCGGGGAGCACCACTCGTGGTTATCAACACGTGATGACATGCACCAAAGTAGTCGGGTCATCGTGACAAGTTTACAAGCCCGTCGTCGCTCGTCGCCGCCGCTGCCGCTCCCCTCGTCGCAAAGGCTCTGAGTAGGCGCCCCTATGCGTAGCGGTGCGTGTCGTGGCGTGCCTTGGTGACCCGACACCCACATTCATTCAACGAACGAACTCCTCTTGAAAGGGGAACGCAACTTCTCTCTACCCCCTCCATTTCTCTCCCCTCCCTCCCT